TAGATTCTCCAGATCCCCTGAGAATGTACTCTTGCAAAAGGTTTAAGCACATTCTCATGAGATTTCAAGCACCCAACTTTTTTTTTTTTTTTTTGACGGCAGCACAGTATTGTCACACATGCCTCCTGCAAACCTGCAAAACCAAGGTAATTATATATTTTTTATTTTATTTTTTTGCCTTTTTGAGGTATTTGGGGGTTGGGGACTGGAAATACAGCAGACCTTTCACTATTTTATTCATTATTTTATGAAAGGTGCGCTTTGACGTTGTGGTAATGAGTAAATAAAAAAAAACAACATGCATTGCGAGGAAGGAAGTCTGTAACAAAGTATAACACTTGTTAAGACCTCACACTTTTGTTCCTAAACATGAGTTTAGGAGCTTATGACTTTTTTTTTTCCAAAGCTCCTGAACTCAACTGAATAAAAGCCTGTGTCTATGTACACATAGGCTTTTACCTGAGTTTAGGGGCAGTTAAACGTTCCTCTCCAGAACACAATTCTTCTGCATTCAGGAGAGGAACGTTTTGGGCAAAAAACGCTACACATTATTATTATTATTATTATACAGGACTTATATAGCGCCGACAGTTTGCTCAGCACTTACACATGGCAAAAACTTGTCTAAAAACGCTAGCCAATTTTTAGTGCTTGGGCGTTTTAATCATGTTAGTTGAAAATACTGTGGCCAATCAAATAAATACACGTCCAAGCGCTAAATGCAGTACCATGTTTACACACGTTTTTGCTCTGTTTAGCGTTTTTCTGCTGCCTGGAGAGCTAAACGTCTAGAAGAGTTCATGTGTACATGAGGTCTAAGACTGTCATGGGAGTGGCCATTCTCTGACTTATGCTACGTACTACTTCTGGAGCAGTGACACGAAACATGTTCTAGCAGAATATGAAGATATTCTTAGGACAATGAGGTTTGTGAGGGTAGGGAAGGAATGCCTGGAGAGAGAGAGATGTTAAGAAAGATGGAATGGACACAAGAGGACATTTAAGGTACATCTTTAGAGGACAGTGTTTTTTTTTTTTAGAGAGTTGAGATACATAGGGACAGACAAGTCTTATTATTGCCTACATTATTTAAGTGGTTTGTAAAAATTCTGTTTTAGCCAGTTTCCTTTTTTCTAAACAAAATGTGTGCTACAATACTGCAGGTAGGTAATATAGAAGGTGATCACTATACTATCTAAGTGATCCAGTTCAGTTATTTGTTTCTGTAGGTATGTATTGAAAATAAAATGGGGTAGTGTGGAAGAAGGAGCAGATGAAGGCAGCAGATGAATAAAGCCTCCTCTCCTGAGTACAGGAAATGCTGTTCTCTATCCCATCTGTTACACTAAGCAGAAACCAGGGAAGTCGTATTCTTTTATAGTTCTATTCTTTTGCTGCTTGGCTTACTGTATCTGGACTCATGATAATTTTAAATAATTATTTTAAATAATTGAAAGTAGAGAAAAAAATGAAGAATGAAATATGACGTGGACAATGTATTAAAGCTGAGATCTAGGCATTGTAAAACTTCTATTACTGTAGTTCCGTACTCCATAATTAAAATTTAAAAAAAAATGAGTACCCAAATTTTCTTCCCCTGATGAGCAGGCCTGAGAGCCAACCAGGTGGGTGTAGAACAGGGGTGTCAAAGTCAATTTCATCGTAAGCCACATCAGCCCTATGGTTGCCTTCAAAGGGCCAGTTGTATCTATAAGACTAAATGTCCAGAGCACCGCACTCACCCTTGCATCAGATGTCAAGAGACCCCCAACCCTCCCTCACATCACAGTGCACCCCCATACCTTGTGCCGCTGCCAGGAAGAAGCTGGGGGGAGAGTTTGGAAGCAAAAAGTGCAGGGTCTGGAGGAGGACTGGAGTCAGCTGCCAGTCTGCTGAATGCTGAGACCAGGCAGAGACAAGATGGTGAGGGGGTGGGGTGCTGCACGGAGAAGTGCAGGATCTGGTAGAGGAGTTCTGTCCTCTTCTCTTCAGGCAACTGCTGAGACAAGATGGGGATGGAGATGTTGGGGGCGCCACAGCTGCAGGAGAGGTGAAATGGCCTGGAGGGCTGCATTCGGCATTTGGGTCTTGTTTTTGACAAGTGACGTAGAGCAGGGTGTCAAACTCAATTTCATCGTGGGCCACATCAGCATTATGGTAGCTCGTATCTGTAAGACTAGATGTCCAGAGCACCCCATCCCCCTTACATAACATGTCAAGAGACTCCCACAATCAGAAGTCAAGAATCCCCCACCCTCCCTTACATCATAGTACACCCCCCTTAAGTTGTGTTGCTGCCGGGAAGAAGCTGAGGTGAATCTGGGAAGCTGAAAGTGCAGAGCCTGGAGGAGGACCAGCTGAGCAGGTTTTTGTCTGCATTCTAGTGATCCTGGAACACTGCTGTTCGTAGTGCTAGGACACACCACAGACTCCTTGCTGTTTTGGAATCAATAAAGTGATTGGGTATACAGGTACAGATGGAGGACCTTACACAGCCTAGTGGCTAAGTGGTTAGCACTCCTGCCTAGCAGCACTAGGGTGGTTGGTTCGAATCCCAACCACAGCACTACCTGCCTAGAGTTTGCATGTTCTGCCTGTGCCTGCGTGGTTTTCCTGCGGGTACTCGGGTTTCCTCCCACATTCCAGACATGCTGGTAGGTTAATTGACTCCTGTCTAAATTGGCCTTTATATATGTATGAATGTGAGTTAGGGACCTTAGATTGTACTCTCCTTGAGGGTTAGACATTTGAATGTACAGTATATTGTATGTAAATTGATGGCACTATATAATTACCTGTAATAAATAAATGTTCCAGGAGTTCTAACACTACTGGTTACACTGCAAGTAAATACATGAACTTTTTAATTTTAGCTCAGTGGTCAGATTCACTTCATTGCGTTGATAGCACGCTGATTGTATTGTCTCCCTTTAATAAATACATCATTCTTACCACTATAATACCAATGTGCAGCGCTAATAAAAATGTGTGTTATAATCAATGATAACCAGTGTGATCGTAAAAGAGAAAGGAAACATCATTAAAAAAAAAATCGGGAATTGTGAATACTCCAATGAAGAAACAAAATATACGATATAACAAATAAAAATAAATAAGTCCTCTAAATATCATTATAGTCCCAAAAATAGTAATGTGATCAAATCAACAAAATGTAAATGACTTATACACTATATGATGCTGTGTCCGGGCTCCGTCTATGAGCTTGTCCTCTAGGAGGAATCCCTTTCTTTGGTTCACCGTGGGCTGGATATGGAGACTTGGCTACTGTACTTTTGATTGTTCATTTGGCTTCTGGAGAGATCCCACCTTCAACCTGGTCACCGGCAGGAGGAACAAGCAGGAACACCCCTTAGTGTCATTCAGCTCTGGGCTTGCTTGCTACTTACTTCTGGTGAGTGCATTATGGTGGAGGTGCAGTGCGGAAGTCACAGAAGTCACTACATTTTGTTGATTTGATCACATCACTATTTTTGGGACTATTATGATATTTAGAAGACTTATTTATTTTCATTTATTTGTTATACTGTATATTTTGTTTCTTCATTGGAGTATTCACTATTCTTTATTTCTTTTTTTTATGATGTTTCTTTTGTCTTTTACTATCACACTGGTCATCATTGATTATAACACACATTTTTATTACCGCTGCACATTGATATTATAGTGTTTTGTTTTGTTGGAGACAGAGGGTTTGCCACGTTGTGCTAGCTGCTTTACTTTTTCCTTTTTTGTCTTGCGCTCACCAATTATTCTTTAATTATACATCATTCTTACCAACTCTCTTTAGTGCTGAAATCCACTTGCAGGGCCCAATGATAACATAGTGCTTCCTCTAAAATAAAGTCGATATGGTAAAAGCAGGAAAGGCACTTTACAAGGAAGTTCTTCTGTTTTAACATGTTCATAATGATGTTAGTGATCTGACAGATTGGCAGTATAATAGATCTGTTTACATATTACCATAATTACAGTTGAGTACTTCTGTCAGTGAAAAGTATCTGATCTGTATGTCAGTGTATTTTCATACCAAACTGGATCTGATTTAGTACAATAGAATTTATTTAAAAAAGAAAAAAGGCTGATTGTTATAAACTGCAGATGGCCTTTTTTCCAAGATTTCTTTTTTCTTTGCTCTTTGTATTCAAAGCATATGCCGCTTTAGAAATTAGGATTAGAAAACTTGCTGGGTTTTTACAGCTATCCAGGGCTCCTTTAGAGAGATTTACCCTCACTTCCTGTCCTGCATACAATGGTTTCACCAGACTGAAAGTGAGGTCTAAAATCACAGTACAGAAAACACATCAGTAGAAAAAAATCTGACAAGGTCTAGCCTATTCTCCACTTTAAAGCGGTAGTAAACTGGATTGTTAAAAAAAAAAATTTCCCCTGCTAGGCAATGCCATAATGTGCTAGTATGCATTGCATTCTACCACATTATGTGAAACTTACCTTAAAATGAACCCCTCCAGTGGCACGCTGTCAACGCTAACAGTGCTTCCATGTTCACCCAGTCCTTCTTCCAGGGTTCACAGGCTTTGAATTGGCTGAGCCTTGATGATGTCACTCCCGCACATGCACGCGGGAGTCGCTGTTCACGGCACATAGTTCTGAAGGAATGGCACTGGTATGCCGTTCCTTCAGAGTGCATGCACCAGTGCTACTACACAAGTAAATATCTCCAAAATGGTGTACATTTAGGAGATATTTAAAGTACCAGGTAAGCCTTATTATATTATTATACACAAACAGGTTTTACTACCACTTTAACCGCCTCCCGCCCGCCATATAAGGTAATGACGGGCGCAAGGTGGTTCTCTTGTTCTGGGAGGACGTTATACGATGTCCTTCTACTCTAACCGCACATGCACGGCTCCGGGAGCGCGCTGCGCGGCGATCGGTGGTGGTGCTAAATTACCTATAAACTATCAATGGAAAGAGCCGAAGATGTCGGCTCGGTCATATGATCAGCTGTGTCCAATCACAGCTGATCGCATGTAAATAGGGAAATGCCGGTTATCAGCATTTCTCACCTCACGAGCTGTCACGCTGACAGCTCGAGAGGAGAGCCGGTAATCGGCATTCCTTGGAGGGGACCTGTACACTGATCATCAGGGCACTGATGATCAGTGTGCCCTGATGATCAGTGTAGCCCCAGCAGTGCCACCTGTCAGTGCCCATCAATGCCAGCTGTCAGTGCTAATCAATGCCACCTGCCAGTGCCCATCAGTGCCACATCAATGCCACATATCAGTGCCTATCAGTGCACATCAATGCCACATATCAGTGCCCATCTGAGCTGCCTTTCAGTGTCACCTATCAATGCCAGTCAGTGCCACCTATCAGTGCCAGTCAGTGCCGCCTATCAGTGTGCATCAGTGCCCGTCAGTGATGGCTATCAGTGCCAGTCAGTGCCACCTAACAGTGCCAGTCAGTGCCACCTATCAGTGCCATATATGAGTGCTGCTGCCTTTCAGTATCCATCAGTGATGCCTGTCAATGCTCATCAGTGCCACCTATCAGTGCAGCCTATCAGTGCCCATCACTGCAGCCTCATTAGCGCACATCAGTGAAGGAGAAAAATCACTTATTTACAAAAAAAAACGTGTTCTTTTTTCAAAATTTTCTGTTGTTTTTGGTTTGTTTAGCAAAAAATAAAAAACCCAGAAGATTAAATACCACCAAAAGAAAGCTCTATCTGTCTCAAAAAAAATGATAAAAATGTCATATGGGTACAGCGTTGCATGACCGCGCAATTGTCATTCAAAGTACAACAGATCTGAAAGCTGAAAACTGGCCTGGGCAGCAAGGGGGTAAGAGTGCCCAGTAGGCAAGTGGTTAAAGTGGAGCTCCATTCCCCCCCCAAAAAAAATTAAACGTCAGCCGCTACAAATACTGTAGCGGCTGGCTTTTAATATAAGGCACACTTACCTGTCCAGGGATCCAGCGATGTCCCCAGGCCGATTCTTCAATCAAATTTGTATGCAGGCGCCGGCATCTTAAGTAAGGGAAGCCGGCAGTGAAGTGTCCTGTTCCAGAATGCTGCAGGGGAAGGAGGGGGAGCGAACTTCTGGCTCAGATGGCCTCGGCGCATGGATATGCTTCCCCAGACCATCACTGACCCACCACTAAAACGGTCATGCTGAACAATGTTACAGGCAGCATAGCGTTCTCCACAGCTTCTCCAGGCCCTTTCATGTCTGTCACATATGCTCAGGCAGACCTGCCAATTCTGGTGTTCAATGGCAAATGCCAATCAAGCTCTATGGTGCCAGGCAGTCAGCACAGGGCCCACTAGAGGACGTCGGGCCCTCAGGCCACCCTCATGAAGTCTGTTTCTGATTGTTTGGTCAGAGACATTCACACCAGTGGCCTGCTGGAGCTCATTTTCTAGGGCTCTAGCAGTGCTCATCCTGTTCCTCCTTGCACAAAGGAGAATATACCAGTCCTGCTGATGGGTTAAGGACCTTCTATGGCCCTGTCCAGCTTTCCTAGAGTAATTGTCTGTTTCCTGGAATCTCCTACATGCTCTTGAGACTGTGCTGGGAGACACAGCAAACCTTGTGGCAATGGCACGTATTGATGTGCCATCCTGGAAGAGTTGGACTGCCTGAGTAACCTCTGTAGGGTCTATCGCCTCATGCTACCAGTAGTAATGCAGACCCTAGCCAAATGCAAAACTAGTGAAAAACAGTCAGAAGAGATGAGTAGGGAAACAAATGTCAGTGGCCTCCACCTGTAAAACCACTTCCTGTTTTGGGGGTCATCTCATTTTTGCCCATCTAGTGCACCTGTTGTTAATTTCATTACCACCATAGCAGCTGAAACTGATTAACAATCTCCTCGGCTACTTAACTGACCAGATCAATATCCCAGGAGTTTAACTGAGTTGATGCTATACTCTGATTAAAAAGTGTTCCTTTTTTTTTTTTGAGCTGTGTATAACGAAACAAATCCCGAAAACTAATCAGTTCAACATAATGAATACGATGAAATTAAATTCTTCAATCAATGAATGAATCTTAAACTAAACAAAAATTTCTAGCTTGCATTTGTCTACCGATATAGTTGCAGGTCGAAATTACTGTACAACATTGTACCATACAGCAAGGCACTATATAAAGAGAGATAATGGTACCAAATAATAACATAGCTCCCTACCGTCCCTGGTTTTGAGGGACTGTCCCTGATTTGGAACAAAATCCCTCTGTCCCTCCTTCCTCCTCATTTGTCCCTCATTTTGGTCTGATGTGTGTAGTATATAAAAGCCTTTCACTCAATTTCCAAATTGCGGCATCTTAGCTTGTACGCCCCTTGAGGGTCAGGGACTGATGTGAATGTACAATATATATGTAAAGCGCTGCGTAAATTGATGGCACTATAGAAGTACCTGTAATAAATAAATGTGGCAGGGCAAGTGTGCTATGCTTACAGTGGGGATCGAAAGTTTGGCACCCCAGCTAAAAATTTGTATTAATGTGCATAAAGAAGCCAAGGAAAGATGGAAAAATCTCCAAAAGGCATCAAATTACAGATTAGACATTCTTATATGTCAGCAAAAGTTAGATTTTATTTCCATTATTTACACTTTCAAAATAACAGAAAACAAAAAAATGGCGTCTGCAAAAGTTTGGGCACCCTGCAGAATTTATAGCATGCACTGCCCCCTTTGCCAAGCTGAGACCTGCCAGTGTCATGGATTGTTCTCAATCATCGTCTGGGAAGACCAGGTGATGTCAATCTCAAAGGTTTTAAATGCCCAGACTCATCTGACCTTGCCCCAACAATCAGCACCATGGGTTCTTCTAAGCAGTTGTCTAGAAAACTGAAACTGAAAATAGTTGATGCTCACAAAGCTGGAGAAGGCTATAAGAGGATAGCAAAGCGTTTTCAGATGTCAATATCCTCTGTTCGGAATGTTATTAAGAAATGGCAGTCATCAGGAACAGTGGCAGTTAAAGCAAGATCTAGAAGACCAAGAAAAATTTTAGACAGAACAGCTCGCAGGATTGTGAGAAAAACAATTCAAAACCCACGTTTGACTGCACAATCCCTCCAGAAAGATCTGGCAGACACTGGAGTTGTGGTACACTATTCCACTATAAAGAGATACTTGTACAAATATGGTCTTCATGGAAGAGTCATCAGAAGAAAACCTCTTCTACGTCCTCACCACAAAAATCATCGTTTGAACTTTGCAAATGAACATATAGACAAGCCTGATGCATTTTGGAAACAAGTTCTGTGGACCGATGAGGTTAAAATGGAACTTTTTGGCCGGAATGAGCAAAGGTACGTTTGGAGAAGAAGGGGCACAGAATTTAATGAAAAGAACCTCTGTCCAACTGTTAAGCATGGGGTTGGATCAATCATGCTTTGGGGTTGTGTTGCAGCCAGTGGCACAGGGAACATCTCACGAGTAGAAGGAAAAATGGATTCAATAAAATTTCAGCAAATTTTGGATGGTAATTTGATGCCATCTGTGAAAAAGCTGAAGTTAAAGAGAGGATTGCTTCTACAAATGGATAATGATCCTAAACACACCTCGAAATCCACGGGGGATTACATGAAGAGGCGTAAACTGAAGGTTTTGCCATGGCCTTCACAATCTCCTAACCTCAACATAATTGAAAATCTATGGATAGACCTTAAAAGAGCAGTGCGTGACAGACAGCCCAGAAATCTCAAAGAACTGGAAGACTTTTGTAAGGAAGAATGGGCAAAGATACCTCAAACAAGAATTGAAAGACTCTTGGCTGGCTACAAAAAGCGTTTACAAGCTGTGATACTTGCCAAAGGGGGCAATACAAGATATTAACTCTGCAGGGTGCCCAAACTTTTGCAGACGCCATTTTTTTGTTTTCTGTTATTTTGAAAGTGTAACTGATGGAAATAAAATGTAACTTTTGTTGACATATTATAAGAATGTCTAATCTGTAATTTGATGCCTTTTGGAGATTTTTCCATCTTACCTTGGCTTCTTTATGCACATTAATACAAATTTTTGGCTGGGGTGCCCAAACTTTCGATCCCCACTGTACATATTTTTGCGAATAGGTGTCCTCGTTCCCATCTAAAAATGTTGGAAGGTATGCAATAACCTAATATGCCTGTGCATGGACACAAAGGCTAACATGGAGGTGCTTGTACAGGCTGAAGAAAAAAATGCCAAACACTTCTAAAAGGCTGGGGGGGGGGGGGGTTTAAGCCCAGTTTGCATGAGCGCAATGTTTTAGGCTTGGGTAAATAAAGGCTTACAAGACGAGGTGCAGTCTTACTTGCTAAGGTAATGAAAACTAAATGCCTCGGTTTCTCTGCACCACCATGTGCTCCTTCCTATGTGACTGAGAGATTAGAGAAGGCTGAAAAAAGTGCCATGACTTGGCATTCTGATTGGATGGCTGACAAAGCCATCGCTATTCTGTGTTTTGAAATCCTGAGCTTTACATGTGCTATCTGCTATTATTATACAGTGGTAGGCTTCTAGAGTTGTAAATCTGTCCATTAGCTTATGAATCTCTGAACTTGCATTAGTCTCACTGTCTTCCATACAAGTCAAAGGGAATGTAAAAGCAGCTTGATGCAGCTTAGTAGAAGGTCAGCAGTACCTGTTTAAAAGGGTTTCTTAAAGCAGAACTAAACTCTTCTCAACCAGCATTAACTAATTTATTCCTTGGTATGCTAGCATTTTTTTTAATAATTCTTCAGTCGCTTCCTGGTTTCTGGCCTAGGCCAAAACAATTTAATCTATTTCTGGAGTCTTCATGAACATTCTCTTTCTTTCATTTAGAGGAGGGGCTTTCTCAGCTAAGCATATCTTTCTGCATGCATGCCTGAGCTAAGATCAGATGGATTCCAGAAATTAAATGCCACATGTTTCATCTGCCCTTACTCAAGATGGTCACGGCCAGAAATGCTAGGGATTTTTTAAAGTGATTTCTCAGCAAAATAAAGAATGGGGACATGCAGAAATGGGGGGTTTGCTTTGAATAATAAAAAAATGAATTAAATCGCATTTCAGTTTGTGATGCTCAGATATAGTCAAGTTCTGCTTTAAAGCAATAGTAAACTAAAAAATAAACTAAAATAAATAAAAAAGGTTTTCCCGCTCAAGGCATAGGCATAATGTGATAGTATGCATTGCATACTAGCACATTATGAAGGAGTTACCTTAAAACTAAGCTCTCCAGTGGCACACCAAGGCTTTCACCTTCGCCCGGTCTTATAAAGAATTTGCATAGCCATTCACCCTGTGAAAGTGCATGTACATCTACCTGAATGGGATGCAAAAATAAAAAATGTAAATAAGCTACATCCTGTGCTGTTCAAATGTAAATTATAGATTTAAAATGTGAAATATGGCATTTGGCC